TTTAACGTTTCAGATCCTTAATAATTACCACATTGCATGCACTAGTTAGTGGGGAGGAGTTGTGGTGTTTTTGGCCAGTGGTCAATACACTTTGAGCATGCGCACTTATGCGCATGCTCAACTGCCGAGCTAAACTGCAGTAAGAAAATCAAAAATAAACAATTTTTCGTTTCCAACTATTCCAGGAAGAAATTAGGGAGAACTTCGAAACGAGTTACCTCATCTTTTTCATGTCAAAGGTTCCTCTGGCCAAGAAAAATATGTTTTCAAATCAAATAGTTTATAAAAGGGCTCAAATTGTCGAGATTTTGGAAATTGGATACAAGAATGTCCTGCGGGTTTCCTTGCTTGTGACTCAATGGCATTGCAATGAGGCAACAGAAGTTCATAACGGAGAATTTGTTGAAGCGATTGTTTACTTAAATCCCATTCTGCCTTGGATCATTTGCCATCTTAGTATTAAAATGTGAATGCTTACAGTCAAAATGACTGGTTCACTTTATGCTCTTTGAGTTGGTACTCAAAGGTATCACCTATTTACCTTCCTACTCTCGTAAGATAGAACAAAACTGTCGTTTCAGAAACACTCGGCTGCAATGAATTGTATTTATTTTTCAGATTTGGAGGGCATCTTCCAATACTATGGCAGCAAGAAAACTCAACGATTACCAGTTTACCGTACATCAAGGGGCTTTCATATTCAACTAAGATTCTCCACTGAAACTTGCAAGGGGCAATTGGTGGAGATAACGAGTGAGGACGCCAATTGTTTCTTGCGTATCGCGCTTCCCGGCATAGGCCCTATTCGAGTGTCATACAGTACCCCTTATGGTAAGAACCATTCTGTGTCATTAAAAGGAGAAGTCTGCGATGGCAAGAGGCACTCTCTTTGGTTCAGCGTCGACATTTTTCGTGTTTCATATCGTGTAGACAAAGTTCCAGTAAGGTTTTACGCGGCATCCTTAAGACGACTGTTTCTGTCGCCACCAAACATAGTTTTTGGCAAAGGGCTTAAGGGATGTGTTTCTGGTTTCATATTTGTCTTTCGCTTCACTGAAACCCGCGGATACCGTGTAGGAACGTCGTCTGGTTGTTCTATGAATAGTAAGTACCATGGGACTCTTTTAATCAGTAGATTAGAACAGAAGCATACACCGATAGGAACACGTGTTTCATCCTTGGAACAGAGGTTTTTTAAACTTAAATATATTGTTAAATCAATCGGCAGACTAAAGTGCAAACGAGTGGTGAACAATTTTGGAAACATTTTGTTCTGTAAGCTCATTAAATAATTCAATTATATAAGGTTTGAAACATACTACATCATGTTTGAATTTAACAATGAAATCGGACGAGAAATTACAAAGCAAACTAGGAAGCTAAATTAACCAGTTGGTATCTTGTTAACTCTCTGAGAAGAGAAGTCGTTGTGTCTTATTATTTACTGGTAGAAATGCAGGAAGTGGGTATTTCACTGAATCGCTTGTTTGTTGTCCTTCTCTTGATAAAGGTAAACAATACGGCGTATTCAATTACATACTGTAAGAGACTAATTTGCTTTTCGATGTGAATCAGTCAAATTGATATAAGCCAAATGATAAGAATTCGTGACACTGAACGCTGCTGGAGATGCTGCCCCTTTGAGATTTATATTCTTTTCTTAAATTACAATGTGAAAGGAACTTGAAGTATATTGCATTTAAAAGGCTGTCTTTCCACATCCTTATCTCAATTTGAGCAACCTATTTCAGTAAGTAGATTAAATTTTACGGGCTTCCTCATGAAACGTGTGGGATGGTTTCAGCGTACTTTGCATTTTCGTTTGTGATCGTTACATATGGTGAATACGACAAAATAACGACTGCATCATGATACCAGCTTTTGACAAAGTGGGTACGAGGGACAAATTCTCGATTAAACATGTATCTAAATAATAGTGACCTCTCATACCCGTTATGCTCAATAAGCTTCCCTTAGCACTCAGTCTGGAAGATAAACAATCCGGTTCTATCAAAACGAAAGAGGATGTCATGCGTCGGCTTTCAGCATTCTTTTCATCTAAATAAATTGAAATTGTCTCGAATGGCGATGGCGTTCAGTCGATTCTCACCAAGTCAAAATAAAGCAGTCAAGCATCTCGCAGAAACTTCCTCGGAGCCATTCCGTATGGCAATCGTTTGAAACTCTTGGATCCCCCCAAAACAGCACACCTGTTTGGAACCTTTTTACAGCCTACTTTATGAAGTCGCTACCTTTAATCCCTATAAATAATTGTTTGGATTACGACTCCTACTCCTTTTTGCGAGTATCAGGATAGTCCATGACCTTTCAGTGCGTTATAACAATGCGCAAGGAAACCCCTCGTCTCTCTATCTCTTTCTCTTGTTGTTTTTTACTATTTTCTGTATTTTTTCATTATTTGTTAATAAAATTAACCTGTTCAAACAAAGACCGGACGATTTTGGAAAGTATCCAGATCTGAAAAATTAATAGCCATTTCTTCGTAAAGATATTATCATCGACTTCAGCTGAAACAGCGCGTTCCTGAGCAGCGGAGACGAACTCGACACCGACGATAACTTATATATGAAGCTCATTGATCATAAGAATAACCATTACAGGGTCTTATCGGGGATAATTAGATAAATTTTTATCGTGATATAACCAAGATCCTCTCAAAAGAAAACACACTATTATAGGTATAACTATGAATTGGACGGATGTGTGTATTACTTTTCAGTAGCGTAAACTTCTGTTACCGCCGTCCTTTTGCACAATAGGTAGACCCAAAATCGATCCAAACAATTCACGATCACATGGCTATGGCTCAACGGTTAGGGTGCGTTACGAATAAACTTACAAAAAGAAATGCTATCCGCATAGATAGAAGCCCTTGTTCTTCAATGCGATCGATCCTTCTCACGATTTAGGAAAGTCAAACTTGCAAATCAGAGATGTTATTCTAAGGCTTTATAAATATGGAGTGATTTTAGTTCATGAATATCTGTGTATCTATATATGTTTTAGATGGCTAATAGCTTGAGGGTGAAAATGTGCTGTTAGAAAGTTCGATCATAGACGAATGGGAGGAACTTTCTATAAAAGGTTCGAACTCGGACTTCAAAAGCATCGATTCACAATTTTACCATCGAGCTAAAGCAAGACACATAGCCAGATGTGTTTCTGTACGTGTTTGATTTTCTTGACCTCGACCTCGACTTCGCATGGTTTAATTAGTTCATTGTATAACCCCATTTTAATTGGCAAAAAATTCAGTTCATAAAAACAGTAACCAGTTTTCCTTGATGAGTGTAAGTTTTGTTTATCTTTTACTCGGACGTGTCTAATCCAGCTTTGCAAGCCTGTGGAGCAAAAGTATTTAGGGACGTCGTTATGATAAATGAGTAAATTTCGGCAAGTTTTCAGACAAACGCACTGAAGGTTAGCCTCTGACTATTTTTAAATGTTCAGCTTCAGAGGGAGTAAATGTTACAGTAGATCAAAATAATGCCCACATCCAAGTTCCTCATTCAATGCGAATCGTTTTAGTGAAGACGACATAGTTTGCTCCATGAGTGCCTTACGAAATAGATTAACTTGGTTACGAGGAAGTCAAAGGAAATGAATTTGTATGCTGTTTGTATTGTAATAGTGTAGTTTGATCGTCCGGGTGAGTGTAGGACTGTTGTCGGTAGTGGTGACTGACGTTTTGACAACCTAAGCGGAAGTCATCATCAGAGTCAAGTGAATAATTGATGTCAGTCGAATGTTCTTAGTCCGGTTTGTACAAACTGATTGGTCAGTTTTGCCGTGATGTTATTGGCTGTTAGACTCAAGTGGCTTAGGTCGGTCGTGATCGGTCGGTCTCGATCCGCTAGTGAAGTTAGGTCGTTCTGCTCGGTTCGTTTGTAATGTTAATGTCGTAGATGATTCTTTTGTATGGTGCCGGTAGTGGTTGACACCTGTTGAGTCTGTTCCAAGTTAGTAAACCGTTCCAGGATCAGTCGTTGAAAGTAGTTTTTGCTGTAGGTTAGGCATTGCGCAGAGTCCCAGTCAATAGTGTGGTTCGTAAGTCGGTAATGTTCAGCAATGTGATTGTTGACATCGCCTTCCCTCTTCGCTCGTTTGTGCTCAGTCAGTCTAGTTGTGAGGTTTCTGCCAGTCTCACCGATGTAAGAGGCGCGGCAGTCGGAGCAACTGATCTTATACACTGCTACCTGTCTGCTTCTCAGTTCGTCTTTATCTTTGACGTTAGTCAGTAACTGACGTAGTATGGTAATAGGTTTGTGAGCGACGCGGATATTGAATTGTTGTAGGATGCGCGAGATGTTCTCAGATATGCCCTTTATGTACGGTATAGTTGCTGTAGTCGTAGGAGTTGCGTTTTCGTTAGCTTCGGTAGTAGTAGTAGGTTGGTGAGTGTTACATTGGATGAAGTCCTCGTTGTAGTTGTTTCCAAGTTACTTGTTCTCGTCTGATAAGCTGTCTGTCGTGTTACATACAGCGGGGCTCGTCGCGTAAGAGTCCTGAGAGTTGTGGCTTTGTGTGATGTCGGGCTGTAGGATGATTCGTCAAAGGTGGTCGTGGAATGCGTCGATTTCGTCGTGTCGTACGGCGGTGAAAGTATCGTCAACGTAGCGTAACCAGAGCGGTATCGTTTGTCGGCAAGTCGAAAGGGCGCTTTCTTCAATGTTCTGCATCACAATTTCTGCTACAATTTCTGCTCGTAGTCGTCAGGTATCTCTAAAGTCTTAGTGGCGTTAATGAAGTCCTCGGTGGATTGTAGGTTACGTCTGGATTTGTCGGTGAG